CCTGCGTTACATTAAATTTGCCGCTGGACGTTCATCAGTCATCAATCATCATCATGATTTGAGTTTTTTCACGTGGTTAGTGTCTTACTTACATAAACAAATACAGAAATAACTATTCAACAGAGACAAAAAAAAACAATTATGTTAACAACAATGTGTTATTGTACGCCTTTAACAATGAGCAAAAAGCATATCGTATGATAACCTATCAAAGGTCGCAGCATAAAACACATGGAACCATCCAAAAGAGAAACCAACAAGCCAGAATAATAACCTAAACAACGAACAAAAATTAGGACAAGAATCAACTTCAACAACTTAATTAACGGTTCATGACAGACACGTAAAGAATATTGACCTTAGATGAATTTGTTATTCTGTTTAGGTCCTTTTAGGTCATATAGCTCTTATCGATGCAGCTTATTTACACATTCCTAACTCTCAAAAGTTTAGGTTTGAGCTTTAAAGATGACCACTTGGTCCATACCTCTGCTGGTAGACTGTTAGTCCTCGATGGTATCATCGGCCCATTAGTCAGTGCTTTGGTACTGAGATGATTTAAAGCATATACATGTTGTAATGTACTATCATATTATTAATTTATGTATGTCTTTGTCCTGAGTGTTCTTGCGTTTTGTTGTAATGTATTCCTGTCAAGTAATGTTGTCATTTATCGGTGTTTTTAACATTGCCATATAAGCGGTTTGGCTAGCCATAAAACCAGGCTCAACCCACAATTTTTTCTTAAGATTTCCTGTACCAAGTCAGGAATATGGCAGTTGTTATCAAATAGTCCGTTTCTATGTATGTTTGCGTTTGTTTTTGTAGCAGTTCAGTGTTTATGTTGTTCCGTTGTTTCCCTCTGTTTTGGTTTGTGACCCGGATTTTTTTCAGTTAAATCGATTTATTTATATCGAGCAGAGGTATACTACTGTTGCCTTTATCTATCATTACTTTTTGGATGAGTTACTCTTGTATGCGATCTTGTTGTAAATTTTGTTTTGGTGAGGATAATGTCTTAGATGTAAACAAAAAATTGGGTCGATTTTGAAAGTGTTTGTTTTAAATGCATGAAGCTTGAACAAGCATCAAGGGCAACAGTGAAATATGTCATGATCGATATTCAACAAACTTAAGTCTTATAAAAAAGTTAATGATGTTTATTGGATAAATTTTTTATTAAAATTTCGGATTAAGGGCCACAAAAGTTACCATATTGCTTCACATTGATTCAACTGTCGACTTTAAATGAAGGCAACATGTTCAAGCAATCATAAAAATGTCAAGGAAATGACATAAAGAAGGTTTTAACCAACTTACAACTGTTTTCCATTGTACTTTTTTTCAATACTTATTTTATTACTTTAACTTTTCTTTTGGCCATGCTGTTGTATGTTAGAGGTTTTTTTCAACTAATTTTTTTTTATAATAGCCCTTCAGTATATTTACTGTCCCTTTCATTTACCAAATTATTTATTAAACCTCGAACAATAGTTAAAGTCATATGAAACTTCAAATTTAAAAAAAAAGTTGAATATGTTTTAAATACTTGAATTGCTAAGTTTAACTATAAAACAACTAAACGTGAATTTTCTTGTAACAGAAAATCCTTCATTTTTCTTCATACTTCAATAAAGTACTGCTATTTAATTATTGTCTTGTCGTACAGTAATTCGCCGACATTTTCCCTTATGCAATAACCTAAACAAACGTGCATTGGAAAGTAAGTAGTAATAACGAACAAATCAAATACACCAAACCATTGATCAACTGTTCAGGAAAAGTTTAATTAACAACTGGGAACGCATTGTAAATATATAAAACAAAATATTATGGTTCTTTCAATTCAATTATTTGCCACATGCTTCAAGTGCTCTGTGTTGATTATTTATCAATGTCACGATCCAGTAAACTTCGGCAAAAACTCGAAAGTTAATAAGCTTGCGATCAACAATCACTGAATAAAGTATTATTTGTCGATAAAACGTTTAAGATTTGTACTAAATTTTAACTTGCATACAGAACTTACTTTTAAGGGGCATTAGCTACGAGATGTAAAAAATTAAAATGCATGTATGATTTATTTTTGTTCAATCATCATAATTCGCGTTTAGCAGCCATATTGGTTCAAATTTGTCAAAATAAGCTAAGAAACATCGCGGATTAATTATTCACTTGCAAGTAAATAATTCGACCTCATTTAATCTGTATTCATGTGACCTTCAATTTAACCACTTAGCTGGAGATGGGTTACGCATGAATTCAGCCATCAAATGGAAAAGAACGTCAACATTAAAACAGGAACAAGGATGAACCATTTGGTTGACTGATTCGATCCATAAAAAAATCATTTTTATACAGATAAAAACGATGATAGACATACTTTTTAACCTACAATATGAAATCAAGCAGTCCTAGAAAAATCCAATTGCACGTGGTCGATATCTATTTTTATTTATAATTATATTTTATCGATCTATATGACCGTCGGCAGTCTTCGGAAGTCATCTCGATGGTTAAATGGATGACCTCTCGACAAAAATACACACATAATGTAAATACATATAAAGTCCATGAATTGTTAATTTTTTATTTTCGACTTTTTGTGATTTGGGTATACGGTATAGTATAATATAAATCAAATATGAGAATTTGAGTAAGATCGATGAACATTAATTTGACAGCTAATGCCCCTTTAAATATATATGCATGCATTGGTTCAATAATTTCGATAACATTATAATTACAAGAACTTGTTTTATATGACTTTAATCACTTATGAAGGAATTGATGTACTTCACCTAAATGTAATCGGTAGAAATCATTTAAAGAATTAGATATGCACCATATAAAAAGTATTCAATATCAAAGAGTATACTATAACAAGAGCAAATTGCATTCTACAATAGTTTTGATCTCACGGTAATTTTTTAACGAAAATATGCGTGCAAGCTAGTTTTTAAATCGTCAATTCAAATATGTATTAACAAATATACCTTTATGTGGTAATTTTAGAAATAAATAGGGTCATTATTTTTTAGAATTTACACAAAAATTCGGTTTCTTTGACATTTCTATCCTTTGGATAAACATACTTGACTTTTTTTGTATCAAAAGATAAATACTAGAAGTCAAACGAAACTTCAAATTAAAAAATAAGTTGAATATGATTTATATATTTGAATGATTAAGTTTTAATATGAAACAAGTGTTCTTGAACTTTTTTGTAAAAGAAAATCCAGTTTATTTGAAAATCTTCATAAATGTTCTGCTATTGAATTTACATCTTCGCTAGCCAAGGGTTACGATCCACTTCCCTCCTCTCCACCCTTGGCGGATTGAATTAGAATTTCGGAGACACAAGGTAATGATTTTCATTGGTTGCAGTCGAAACTCACTGCATCCAATCAAAAGCGCCTATAGCATGATCACGTGTAAATGTAGAAATTGTAAGTAAACAATTGCCACGTGCTTATTGTGCAACAAGTCTTTACATACCTAAACATACGACTATATTTAGTGACAATTTGAATGTTTTTAATCAACTAATTGAAGTTCCTGTGTATGTTTCTTGCACAAATGCATTAATGTCAACGTATACTTTCGTTTCCTGCTTTACCAAGAATGTAGAATCTAGACGCTACCGTGTTTTTACCTCCAAATTGAAGAGTTGAAGTGCTACCATTGGTCAAGAATAATGTATTAAGAATGGGCGTGACATTAATCTACCGATAGATGGCGCAACATTGTTATCACAAATGTTGGCTTAATCTGCCAATGGTGGAGAGGAGTGCAGTGGATCGTAACCCTTGGCTAGCAAAGATGTTGAATTTATTGTCTTGTCGTACACTAATTCGCCGAAATTTTCCCATATGCAGTGATCTTACCTATGACCTCTCGTTTTATAACTTCGGCAACGATACAGCGCAAGGGCGATGGGAAACCCGCGATGAACGAATGTAAACAAACATGCACTGGAAGGTAAATAGTAAAAACTGATTCTTAAAAATGATTACAAAAATATCATGGCTTTATTAATTCACTTATATGCCACATGGTCCGAGGGCTCTGTGAGGGATATAAATGTCATGATCCGGTAAACATCGGCAATTAACTCGAAAGTTAATTAGCTTGCGATCAATAATCACTAAATGAAATATAGTTGGTCGATAATACGTAATAGATTCGTGATAAATATAAAAAAAAACGTGCATACAGGACAAAGTTCACTATATATGCATGCATTGATTCAATAATTGCGATAACATTAAAATTACAAGAAACTCGTATCATATGACTTGAAGCGGAATTTTGTAAAAACATTTAGAAAGCTTTAAGTTTATCAAATCTCTTCAACTTCGTTTTTTATGGCCTTTTAATTTTTTTAATTCGAACGTCACTAATGATTATTTTGTAGACGAAACGCACGTCAAACCTACACGATTTTAAGCCTAGTATCTATGATGATTTCATTTATGAAACAATACTTTGGCATTGTTTTTTTTTTCCTTTTTTTTTTCTTCATTTTAGAAAATAAACGGTCATTTTGTGCTGTATATGTAACTTATTTATATAAAAAATTCTTGGTGTTTTGTTCATAAGTATTGGTACAAATAATGTTCATACATAATCAAGTCAAAAGTCATTTCAAAAAGAGGGGTTCATGAAATTGTTTTCAAGCTTATGATTGAAATTCAGTCGAAAAATTGCAACTTTTCCCATTATGTCACAATTGACGTCGCGACAAATGACATTTTACATTAACGACGTCATTACCTACCCTGCAACTGTATCGTATACCCTTAAAGATAATACCTTAGTTTTCAAGATTCTAAAATATCACATCTTGATTATTTTCATATAATAAACACGTGGTTTGCATCATATAACAGGACATGATAGATTGCCCAAGACTCCAAGCCTATCAAATCTTTGATTGTCAAAATAAGAACTGGTAAAACGATGGTGGCACTTCAAAATACAAATAGAAAAAAGTAAAATAACAAATAGCAATAGATTTATTTTGATATTTATGTTTTGACAAATTAACATGAACGGTATCAATTATTTTGCACCAGACGTGCATTTCGATGATATATATATCTTTAGTGATGCCCGAGGCCAATTTAAAAAAATCTAAAACATATTAAAAAATGAAGAGCTAATAAACAAAAACCAACAAGAAGTATAGTCAAAGCCCAAGGTTCTTATATTTTCCCGTTTTAGTGCCATATTGACAAAACGCCATTCTTCAAATTAGACTGATAAAATAATAGTTTGAGATAACTAAACTTGAACACTGTCTGGTTCACTCTGTGAACGTAGGTTTCCTCTGTGAAATGTTTGTTCGTATAAAATATGTTTTAAATTATTTTATCTGTTAACTTTTATTCTTTTTTCAAAAAAAAAAACAGCGATCACACAAGGTTTTGTGAATAGTATTCTATAGCGTTCCACATTATATAGGGATGACTTGCATTCTTAATATTATTTATGTAAAATAAATGGCGTGGCTTCTCTTTCAAACTTGCTCTCAAATCTTTTATATAACATTTCGGTTGAGCTATCTGTATACGTGAAATCCAAGGTAAAAATCCACCACCATAAATATCTTCAAGCCACAAAAAAGGCACAAAGTTTGTCGCTTCATACATTTCTTGTATAACGTCAGCTGACATAATAGAGGAAGGTCCTGCACAATAAGGAGGAAACGTTGCAAAAGGGTATTCAGACGGAGATATATACCATTTACTGCGAGTCCGACGCTTTGGTCTAGCTCCTATAACAGTAAAACATTCTAAAACTTTGGTTTTGTTCAGTTTATTGCTAAGATAAGGAATAAGAAATGGGATGTTGATGGTGATATCATCGTCAATTTTTATGACATAAGTCACATGGTTGCAAAATATATTCACCCAGAACAAGCTGAATACTCGTTTATATGTTAAATTTCTGTAGCTGTCTATAAAATTTCCTTGTATAATGTCTCTGTATCTGACACTTTCCTGTTTAATTTCCATCTGCTGAGTATCATTCATGATTTGCCCAAGAACGAAGACATATTCAATATGTTTATTGTCAAATTTTGAAATAGATCCAAATGTTTTCCTTATAACCTGACGTTCGTCAAACTTGTATGTAGCTGAATAAACAAGAACTAGCAAGAATACATGTATTTCTTCACACTTTGTACTGGTATTAAGTAACGATTTATAACGATGTCTCTGAATAAGAGGGTCCGTCAGTTTATCGGTTGAAACGTTCAGATAAAAGAGTTCAAACTCTGTTGAAATACTTCGTCCATTGTATGTTATGACCTCACGGCTTCTGTTTTGTAATTTCCTCTGTATTTTCAATCTTTGTACAAAATGGTTTTTGAAATCTGGCATACTATTTGAAACGGACGTAAAATTGCTGTGTATTCTTCGGTGATATCTTGAATAATTGTAAATTAAAATCCATAGAAATATTACAAGGAAAATTTTCCAAAGTATTAATTTCCTCATTTTTATAACTTAGATTAGTGCTTTATGTTTTGAAAAACTGGAGTCAGAAATTTAGATAAGGACTTGATGTATCAAAACATGGAGTGTTTAAATGTAAAAAATAAATGGTTTCGTATGCATAGTAAGCTCCATCTCAAATGAAAAAAGTTCTTATAAATAAGTTTTTAAAGTAATTTTTAAGTATACCTTTTTTCCAATATCCTGTATTATTCATGCAATTAATCCATAACGACTGTATTATATAATTTTATCATATAGATGATGATGATTTATATGGATTTCCTAAGGTGATATTTCCCGATAATGTCTTATGTGAAACAACTCGTTTATTTTCACTCTCAACTCTCCCCAGCTTTTACACTACGCTCACATGAGATTTCCGACTAAAGATTTGCGCCTTGATAATTTAAACTAATTGAATAAATATGTCACACATAAACAGTTAATCATACTCCCAGCGAATTTAAACATATTTTCGCTTTGAATAATTGCAAAAAGTGCACCCATCTTCTCGAATTAACAATTTTTCTCTATTATGACAACTGTTGGCCATTCACATATATTCATACGCCAAAAAGTGCAGTGATATTAATTCATATAGATATTCCAACATACGCTAGATGTATCAAAGAAAAGGGTTTGTTATTCTGTTTTTATTTAATAAAAACAATATACTGAACGTCGTATTTGAATATCAAAAATAGGATTATTTGTTTACAGTCGTGAATATTCTCGATTGATATTGCATGGTGGATAATTGCCACATTGGCAAATATGCACCACACCCTTACTTTTAATTTACTTGTATTATGTTTTTCATTCTTATATTATCGACATGAATTTGCTGATGTTAGATTTTTAGGATTATATATTAGAATCGGAGTATTTTTTCAACAGTACACTATTTTCAAATTTATCAAACATTCGGTTCCCTCATGCTGCTGAGTGTTTGTATGAAACGTTTCCTTAACATGCTTTGTTTTAGTGTTTATCTGATTAGATGTGATGTGTGTCCTTAAGTAACTTCTTTGATTCATTTTGATGGCGGTTGGGACAGTTTGTAGATTGACGAGACAAATTTTACATGACAATTAGGTATATTGTTAACATATGGGTTGATATTACTATCAGATATGTTATTGTAGGTTTTTTAAATTTAAATTGGACACGAATAAAATGTTCGGTTAACGATGGTAGCATAGAACACGAGAAAAGAAATAATAGTATTCATACTTTTTAATGTAAACAGTTTGAGAACAATCACATATCAATCAATATCTAGCTGCCGTTATGATGGGTTCCTAGAACTTTCATATCTGCTTTCTAAATCTAAATATTTATTGTGACAAAACGAACTATTATGTTTCCATTTGCCCGACAGCAATATTCAGAGGCTCAATTAAGGACTGAAAAATGAGAACAAAACTAAATTTATAAGTGGATGAAAAGAGAAAAATCTCATTGAAAGCACTGTTTGCAACCACCGTGGTTTCTCTATTATTTCTTCAATCAAGAAATAAGATATAGTTTCAGTATTCGATAGATCTTTATCAGTGTATATTTAACCTATATAAAGGTATTATAGCTTTTCCCTTTATACTCTTGATCAGTAGAATAACAACAGGTAAATAGAAGAACGAACAATAAAAGTCAGTCCAGTAACGCATTCATATCGATACAAGAGACAACACAACAAAAGGTGCAAGCGAACTTAAACACAAAGTATCATATCATAGCAAACTGAAAGTACATTTGTATTCTACCTTTGCTTCTTGATATTCGAGAAAATTGGTGTTTAACACCATTTGTGAGAAGATACTGAGAAAACATTCGTATCTAGGCAGAAGATAATCAAACATTATCATAAACAAATAAAATATAACGACATAGATTGAGCATCTAACCATAAGAGATAACCGAACATCATCATCGAAGAAAGTCAGAAATAACGACAGATATTGAACATCAAACCATAAGAGATAACCGAACATCATCATCGAAGAAAGTCAGATATAACGACAGAGATTAAACATCTAACCATAAGAGATAACCAAACATCATCATCAAAGAAAGTGAAATACAACGACAGAGATTAAGTATATAACATTGAGAAGAAGATAACCGTTAGTTGATTTTGTGCATCATAGATACCAGGCTTGCATTTGTTATGCCAGACGCACATTTCGTCAAGATAAGACTCATCAGAGTTGCTCGAATACAAAATGTAGAAGACCAAATCAGACAAGAAGCGGGAAAACAATGTGCAAAATACGTCATTGGTCATATATTCTAGGGATAGAAAAACCTTAGTGTTTCCAATAATTCAAAACTTTATAAACTGCCAATTTTCCGAAAATTATCGTATCAATAATATCCAAAGAAAATAAAATTTAACGTCAAAGAAGGAAAGTGTAACCATGAGAAGCAGCTAGCTAAATATCATATTAAAAAAATGTAAATTATAAAGGCAAAAAAAAAATTGTTTGCTGTTGAAATTGAAACTTTAAATCAAATATCAGGATGTAGATACGGGGTTAAAGATTTATGTCGATATTCTCTTATGAGTCATTTTACAGCGGAAACCAAACAAAAAATACAAGTTATTTGCATAGAAAACTAAACTTCCTGTACACATTTGTATAAAGAATATAAAAATGTAATGTGAACTTAAAAACAAATAATAATTCAAAATATATATTGTGACTTTCTTTTATTTCCTTTTATTTTCCAGAGTGTTAATAATTTCATATTGACTACAGTGATTGTTTCTTCAAAATTCATAGACGTAGAAAAACAAGACATAATAAGATGGTGAAATTCAAAAAGACGAAAAAAGCAACAATAATTAGTTATAGAGAAAACTGAAGATTGAGCAACAGTGTGATCTCATGTCCATCGAAAGGGTAAGCAGTTCCTGACCAAATAGTGACACCAGTCGTTATACTTCTATTTGGATAAGTTAAAGAGTCATATCAGAAGATTACGCATCATACAAAAGCGGATTGATGAATGTATTTTGTCTGATCCTAAAAATTGAATCGAATGTGAAATTTTGTAATATGATAGCGGTTTTTGAAGACAAATTATGGATAACCAATATTAACGGTATAAAATAAAAACGTACAGTTAAAAAAAATAAATAAACGTAATAATTCACTGATATCTAAAGCAAACGGAATACCAACCTCTAAAGAACAAAGTAATTGGTGAATACATGGGCCCCAAAAGGATAGACAGGTCCTGTTCTATTAGTAGAACTCGTCGTTTTTTACCAACGTAATTACAAATCCGTTGATAAGTCTCAATATACATTGGAACCTCAATGGTCAATATGCATATGAAAAAAACGATTAAAAAAGCACAGAGGACCCAAAGATCCGAAATGTTTTGCTAAAGGTAATCTATTTCTGGGATAGAAAATCCTTAGTATGTCGAAAAATTCAAAGTTTTGTGAACAGTTGATTTATAATTATGACTACATCATGTCAACACAGAAATACTGACTACTGGGCTGGCGATTCTCTCGGGGAGGAAATCCCCCCAGCAGTGGCATCGACCCAGTGGTTGTAAATAAACTCCTCATTGATACAAGGTTTAAAGTTTGTACGCTAGCCACACGTTTCGTCTGCGAAAGACTCATCAAATGTTCAGGTTTGAGCGTTCCTGGCAAAGTGAATCCAGAAAACGCTTCTGATGCACGAAATTCATAAAGTGTCTATTTCATTTATATTTGACATGTTTGTGAGTGCTCAAACCTCTTATTACTTAAAAAAGTAGCTTAATAGCTCAATATGGAATAAACTATCAAAATACTACCGTGTTTGTGCAGACTTAAGCATTCATCAGTAGTCATCCAACGGATTAAGCTTAAAGATGCCAAAACTCGTCTGGGAAAAGCATAATATTGAGTAATGCCACAATATAAGTATGGAAGGGATGAAATTTTAAGAGGAGCACTTTTATTTGACCTCTGAAATAGCTAAGATGGTAAACATTAAATCCTTTAATACGTATATGAATTAATTGATAAATGAATATTAAAATTTATGATGAATTCAACCGTGCATAAAAAATTACACTTTCTTACTTATATTTACACAAAAGTTTTGTGTATATTTTTCTATAGCGCTCCACATAACATATGGATGACGTGTATTCTTTAAATTGTTTATGTAAAACAAATGGCATGGCTTGTCTTTCAAACTGTCCCGCAAATCTTTTATATAATTCTTCGGATGAACTATTTTTATACGTGAAATCCAGGGTAAAAAACCACCACCATAGACATCTTCTAGCCAAAAGAAAGGCATAATTGTTGTCGCTTCATACATTTCTCTTATAACGTCAGCGGACATAATAGAGGAAGGTCCTGCACAATAAGGAGGAAACGTTGCAAAAGGGTATTCAGACAGAGACAAATACCATTTATAACGACGATCACGATATGGACCGGCCTCTATAAGATAAAAGCATTCTAAAACTGAAGTTTTGTTCTGTTTATCCCTGAGATAAGGAATTAGAAATGGAATGTTAACGGTGATATCATCGTCAATTTTTAAGACGTAAGTCACATTGTTGCAGAACTTATTCACCCAGAACAAACTAAATACTCGTTTATATGTTAAATTTCTGTAGCTGTCTATAAAATTTCCTTGTATCATGTCTTTGTATTTGACACTTTCCTGTTCAATGTCCATCTGCTGAGTATCATTCGCGGTTTGCCCAAGAACAAAGACATATTCAATATGTTTATTGTCAAATTTTGAAATAGATCCAAATGTTTTCCTTATAACCTGACGTTCTTCGAATTTGCATGTAGCTGAATAAACAAGAACTAGCAAGAATACATGTTTATTTTTACACTTTCTAGTGGTATGAAGTAACGAACAATATCGATGTTTGTGAATGAGAGGGTCCATTAGTTTATCGGTTGATACGTTCTTATAATATTGTTCAAACTCTGTTGAAATGTTTCGTCCATTGTATGTTATGCGCTTCTCTGCGCTTCTGTTTGTTAATTTCGTCTGCATTTTCAATGTGTGCATTTTTCGCTGATTTCTTGGGTAATTGGCGATAAAAATCCATAGAAGTATTAAAAAGAAAATGTTCCACATAATGGTTTTCCTCAATTTCATAACTTAGGTTAGTGCTCTATTTATCAACAAACTGAGTCATTAGCGTAGATGAGTGCTTAATAGATAACAAACTTGTAAACAATTGGTGATATTTTATGCATAACACGCACCAGCTCAAATAAGAACTGTCCCTGACACAATATAATTAAACGTCATTTTAACTATACCTGTTTTTGTATATCCCGTATTTATTAATGTAATTATTAGTATCCATATCGCTTGTGTTGTAATATTTTGATTTCTGAAATAAACAATGTGAGTATTTTATTAGGTCTATCTATTAACCAATGTCTTAAAATACATTATTAATTGTCCAGTTAATACAATTCCATGTGTCTGAGAACTGGTCGTTTATACAGGTCTAATACAGAAAAGCCGGTCAATACAGAATTTTTACTGGTCTTAATACAGGATTTGAACTTCCGCTTTTTTGTTTCAAAAAGGTGTCAGAAAATGGATGTGTTTTTATTACGCGAAATATTAGATTTCAAAATGTTTGATGTTAGAGTTGTTGTTATTTTTCATATTTTATACTATTTTTCTCTTTCAGTATATACAATTATGGACCGTAAAAAGGGTGAATATCAAGAAATGTCATCCGTAAAAGATCATTTCTTTGAGGGCGCTATCCGAAGTGAGAGAAATTTGAAGGGTAGACAATCTTGGATATGATCCATTTCAAATGAGTCACATTTGTTTAATTATCCCAAAGGGTCCTTCGAACCATTGAAAATACATGTTAAAGAAGCTCTTGTACATGTCTTACAGTAGTAACAAATTGTCAAAACATTACGTCAGAGAATTATTTTTGTGACTTAAAATGCCTTATATGTACAACAAATGAAGACTCTTTCTGTAAAATATTGGTAGCCCTGGAAAGTGCCGTTTGTGAAAGCTATCCTTGGCACCAGATAAATTTCAAATACTTGTTTATTCGGCACTCCAGTCCACGGACTTCTAACCTGGACGTTGCAATTTTTTGTTTACACACTTCAGTATTTTATGTTTGACTATTTTCGTTAATTTCATACCTATTCTTTTAAATGAAATAGGAACATAAATAGAAGTGATTTTTGTGTCTAATGTACAACTATAAGTACTATTTTTTATGAAAAGAAAAATTCATTTATACCTGGTCAACTAGCAGTTTATGTTATAAATTGGCTATAATGCATTACTTTATTGTATGCTTTAATATTTTCTTCATGTTGGAGTTGCTATAATGTATGTTTTAATATTTTCTTCATGTTGGAGTTGCTATATTGTATGGTTTAATATTTTCTTCATGTTGGAGTTGCTATAATCCATTACTTTTTGTATGCTTTAATATTTTCCCCGTGCTGGAGTTGCTATAATCCATTACTTTATTGTATGTTTCAATATTTTCTTCATGCTAGAATTACTATAATCCATTACTTGTTGTATGCTTTGATAATTTCCCCGTGCAGGAGTTGCTATAATCCATTACCTTATTGTATGCATTAATAGTTTCCATGTGCTGCAGTTGCATGTTCTTTTCTTTTAAGTTATACTGTATGCATTGTTAAGATACCATATTTTATGTTATCAATACGGGATGGATTTTTCTCATTGTTGAAGGCCGTGAGGTGACCTATAAGAGCTAAAATCCACTTCATTTGAACTTTGGTGGATAGTTGTCTCATTGACAATCTGTCCACCACTCCTTATTTTCATAATTCATTTTCACGCTATTAACCAGTTTGTTTCTAGTTGTGGTATTCAATCATGTAAGCTATTCATACGTAATTTCCTGCGAAGTTATTATAACATATGTATTGATGTGCCTCATGGTATTTTAAATGATTAAATTTTTATTCTTTTCTTTACAGTGTGATTGCGCTTGAGTTATCGTTCTTTGATAACATTAATCTCTTAACTTGTTATTATTAGAATGTATGTGCTCGTTGTAAAGTTGTTTATAATTATTTCTGAATGCATGATAAGGTAATATCCTATGATGAAACTTAAAGATGTTATTATTGTTTTACTTTGTTTTCACGGCTATTAATTCTGCGAAACGATTTGCAAAGCGGGAGATACGGGGCGTGATTTACGTTGTCAATCAACGGATGAAAACAAAACGTAATCAAAGTTAAGATTGCCCAGATCTCGGACGTTAAACTTTGAGTTTCTCACCTTTTTAGAAATTGGGTTGAATATTAGATAAAGAATTAATATAAGATTAATATTTTTAGTAAATAATTATTGCCTATATTCTTATATATTTTCAAGTCATAAATCGATGAAGTTCGCGACTTGAAAATAAACGGAATCCAGGTTTTTATATTGAAAGTTATTTTAGAGTCCGGGAATTTGTTCTTAGCTAAAATTGGTATTACTGTTATTTATTTCTGATATTTAATACCGGGCTATAATATGCGAGGGCCGTTTTGAACGTCTGGTGACATTTTGATTTATGTCGATAACCTCTTTGTGACTTTTCCATATAGAAAGGCAATTAGAGAGCCGATCGTTTGTTTTTGTTTTTTATGTACGCGTAGTGAATTTGCGTTATGCATTGATACTCAATTAAAAGTTTGAAAGTATAAGCAACGTATCAGACGTAAGTCTATGTCCATTCTTATTGTCTTTATTTTCAGATGTTGAATGTGTGTTTTTTTGTTATCGTTGGCGTGTAAAGCATGCCCCCTCGACGTTCGTTTGTACCTTTGGTCAAAATATAAGAAAGCTCCTATCATTATTTGTTAACATTTTATTGAATTGCTTATTATCCTGTTTTCTTTGACGCCTTCTCAATTGAATTGTATAATTTGTTGATATTATGCTATGACTTAATTACAGAAATAAAGATAACTATGTTACAGATGTTTATTTATAAAACAAAATGGCGCTTTCATCATCAGATTTGATGCAGGTAACATAGTTAAATATACCTTAACCAAAGACGATAATTGGTTGACATCTGACACTCTGAAAACGATCTCGTGGTAACTATTTTTTGGTAAGTCTATGGTTCATATGTAAATATAATTGAAAATATCTTAAAATCGGTTAATTTTGAAATTTTGCTTCGAATGTAATGAGTTTGAAGATACCAATGCAGAATCTAGGACAACAGTCAAATATGTCATGGATTTTTGTAAATGACTCTTTTTTATGAATACGGTTAAAATGTTTATTTTATATAAAATGTATCTTCCTTAACATTTTCGTATTGAAGGGTTGACCTTGATACTTCATCATCATTTATTGATTGCGTTGTATTAATAAATGCAACATGTTCCAAGAAACCAAAGAAAGATATTGCATACAGAACATTAAACAAACGTAAATCTACTTTCGATTGTGCAGTTAAATTAATATTTAAGATTATTCATTGTATGACTTTTTTCTTTTGGCCAAGATGTTGTTTTAAAAGTTTTCCTACGACCAATTGTTTTTGGTTGCCCCTTTCTATGTTCTTTCCCTTTTACTTTCCGAATTAACTTGACCATCTTACAATAGAAAATCTAATTTATAGAATAAGACAATATATCTAATTGTTTGAAAAAAATCATAAAAATTCGATACGCATCGTGTGAACTATTATGAGGATGTTTAACGACATTGACTACTTGGTCTAGCTCCTATAAGATACAAACAGTCTAAAACTGTGGTTTTGTTTTTGTTTAGTTTATTGCGTAGATAAGGAATTAGAAATATATATCATCTTCAATTTTGATGACATAAATTTAAATGTTGCAGAATCCATTCTTTTGATTAACAGTAATCAGGCACGCTCAAATCTAAATAATAGAAGGCAAAGGTTGTATAAAACTTGAATACTGAGACGCTATTTAGCCAAAATTGACGTTAAAAGAATAAACAAATCTAGATAAAGCAAACTTACCCAAAGAAGTATATGTTTACGGACAAAATTCAAATCTATTCCAAATAACCCAAGACGGTTCAAATGTATAAGTAGCTGAATAAAAAAGAACAAGACTACAATCTTTTCTAAATACTTTGTTCAAGTAATAAGAAGCGTTAATCAGAGGATCTGTTAATTTATCTGCTTATGCATTTATTACACTCTGGAACAAAAGAAAATGTCCGTGACCCCTTTAACGGGCTATTCAATCTATACATTAAATACTATCTAAATTTAAGATCTTCAAAAACGTTTTTGCGCCTCCCATATTCAATTATTAAACTGGTATTTAATGGGTCATATTTTTACGATCATATCATTACAAGTGGTTTTGAGCGTTCCTGGTGAAGGTAAATCCAGAAAAGCGCTTCGGACGCATGAAATTATTAAACGTGTTGTTTTCAATTTTTTATAGTTGGCATACTGATTTTAATGCGTAAAAGCACAATAATAAGGTACAGAAAGTATGAACGAATAAAATTATTAAAAATCCTATAGGCACAATTACGGAAAAAGCTTCAAATAATGTTGTCCAGCGTACAAAGTTTCAAATGATATTGTTTTTGTACGTAAATCATACTGCTACGAGTGTCTTGAAAAATTGAGAGTAAATGAGCACACAGGTACATGTAATCCCACATACAAAAACATATCATCTGACAAGGATGAGATTTTGACAAATCATAAGTCCTTCATGGCTTCAATGAACATTACATTGAACAGCAAAGCTGAGGACTTACCTTGTTTGTATTGGATACTTAAGCTTCACGAAATTTCGTACAAACAACGGTATATTGCCGGCTCATTTGCATGTTCTACAAAGGCATTGTCCATTAGATTGACAAAAATTCTGTCCGCAGTGAAAGAAGGTCTTCAGAAATACTGCGAAACTATTTACTCGCGTATTAACCACTTGCTGATTCTATAAAATAAAGGCAACAGTAGTATACCGCTGTTCAATATTCATAATTCGATTAAGCAAACACAAATCCGGATAACAAACTAAAACCGAAGGAAACACATCAATTATAAGAGGTAAACAACGGAACAACAGAAACACTGAACTACAACAAAGACAAACATCAACATACATAGAAACGGACTGTGTGATACCAACTGTCATATTCCTGACTTGGTACAGGACATATCAAGAAAAAAAATGACGGGTTTTAAAAAACCTCTAAAGAACTTCTGGAATTAATTCTATCAAAAACTTAGATTTTTCAACCCTTTATACCACCATGCCTTATGTGAAATTGAAAAATCGTCTTGAAGAAATAATACACAATGCTTTTCAATATTAAAATGGTAGCATAAGCTATACATTTATTGCTTTGGGGTTCCATTCGGCATGTTTTGTTAATAGTGAACAAAAAGGTAAAACAAACTACACAGAGGAACAAGTGATCAGTATGCTGGAGTTTCTTATTGACAACTTAATTTTGAACTTTTTCAACAAATTATCGGCATTCCAATGGGAACGAACTGTGCGCCTCTCCTTGCCTACCTCTTCTTATTTTCATATGAGTCAGAGTTTCTTCCGACACTTGTCAAAACAAGAAGATCAAAGAAATCAGATAATTTAATTTCACATTTAGATATATTGATGATGTTCTTTCCGTTAACAATCCAAACTTTTCTGATTGGGTCCCATTAATTTCTGAAGATTCTAGGTACTGACGTTGTATATCATCTTAATTACGTGTTATAGTGTTCTTTTTTATTTGTCTTTGTATATTTTTAACTTTACTGTTTAGTCCATTTTTGGTATCACCCTTTTGGCGTGGCTTGGTATTTATACATCCCGCCATTGTCTTATTGTGCTCTGGTCATTTTTTGTATTCTTGTCTTTCATTTTTGCTTATGTGCTTTGTCTATAGAATGTCTATATGCCATTTTGTTGTTCTTTGTTGACATCATTCTTTGTTTGATAGTGATTAGGCTTATAACACAATGTTGACTGCTATACCCCAATTTTTGACATTTTTACCTATTATGTCTGTTTGGTTTGCTCACACATTGTTGTCAATATAATGGAATTATATGCGACTGTCATACAAGTGAGAGTTTTAGCTAGCTATAAAACCAGGAATAATCCACCATTTTCTGTACCAATTCAGGAATCTGACAGTTGTTTTCTATTCGTTTAATGTGTTTGAGCTTTTGATATTGCCATTTGATAAGGGACTTTTCGTTTTGAATTTTCCTTGGAGTTCGGTATTTTTGTTATTTTACTTTTTACAAATTACGGGAAATATGAACATATAATTGATTTGTTTGTGCTGCTGTAAATATTTTGGTACGATATAAAATTGTCGCCTGCAACTTATCGATTCTTTTGTAAAATAATCCATCTAAATGAAAAAAATATTAAGAATTACATGAAAAATAAGGTGATGTAGTATAATTGCTAATGAGACAGCTATCAACCAGAGTTCAAATTACGCAGATATAATCAATTGTAAGTCCCCATATGCAATGAGAAAACTAATACCATATTGTCAGCTATAAAAGGCCCGACAAGACAATTATAAAACAATTCAAGCGAAAAAACTAACAGGCCTATTTGTAACAATTCAACTAAAGAAAAACAAATACATATGAACAAACCACAACCACTGAATTACAGAATCCTGATATCGGACAGGCAGGGTGTGGTATGATTGCAAATGAGAGAACTCTCCTCAAGGGACCGAATGACATAGAGGTTAACAACTATAGGTCACCGTACGGCCTTCCACAATGAAATGAGCAAACCCATACCGCATAGTAAGCTATAAAAGGTCCTGAAATGACAAATGTAAAGCAATTCAAACGTGAAAACAAACGGCCTGCGTTATGTATAAAACAATGAACGAAAAATAAATATGATATACAGCAACACGCGACAATTACTAAATTACAGGCTCCTGACTTGGGACAGGCACATACAGATTGTGGCGGGATTAAAAATGTGTGTGAGCACATCTATCCTCCCCTAACCTGGAAACAGTGGTTTAAAAGAACAACAAAAGAACAAACTGTGAAAATCAGTTGAAAAAGGCTTAACGCAACAGATCGGTACGAAGCACAAAAACAAAACAAAACATAAGATCAATAGCACAAAGTACCGAAATAAGAGTTCTCGTAGTTAATGAAAGCCAGTACAAAGCCATTTACAACTAATGAATAACAGACAAAAGTCTTTATCAGTACATATTCAATGGATGAAGTGTAAAGATACAGTATGTATGTTTACTGTTCATATAATTTTCTCTTCACTGCTTAACCTTACAACAATTTTTTCAAATGTAAGGAAACAAAAAATCAACATATTGAGTTTAATATTATATAATGGCAAAAGCCTCAGGAAAACTTGAAAATATTTTGAAGATATTTTGTATACTAGTAGTGCTCATTCAATATTATTCAAATATGTTAAGTGGCAATTAATATTTAGCGTAGAACATAAAAATTATAAATTGCAAAGTCGTGATTGAGATACATATGGTAATAATTGAGATTTTAAACCTTAGTTTGTTTGGCTATTAAATTGATATTTGTTTTAGAATTTCTAATGTGTTGTCACTAGCCTTCCTATTAATTCAGAAACATGGGTTATGTGTACGACAATAGGTCGTATTTCTATTTACTACTTCATTGTACTTTATCGGTTGGTGCTACATGTTCACCTTCTTATTCAAGGGTACCACATCTGCAAGTAGCAGGTGCTTTGTGTACGTTTGATGTTGAAAATTGTTTTGGACTTCCCCTTTTGAAAATAACCTTGGAGTTCGATATTTTATTATTCTTTTTTGTATCTGGCATGATTTAACTCATATATTTTGTCTGTAAAATTCCAGTTCATAAATGATGTAAATGTGCTTTAAGTTTCAAAGACGGGCTTCAAAGTTATTGTGTAACTACCTACTCTAGAGGCGACGTGAATCAGATGTGGATACTAAAAAAATCCAAAGATCTGTTTAAGTACATACAATCTAAGTCTATTTCCTATTGCAATAGTATTAAAACATTCCACTTTTCTATAAGAATTGGCCATTTTAAACTAAAAGACAAATTGAAAAAAATTGTCCTGCTTTGTTTCATTAGAAAGAATGACCAACATAGATTCAATTATCTTGTCTTAGAGAGGGAAAAATCGTACTTTGTAAAAAATCACTCTGATTCAAACAAAAAGTTCTCTAAAACTGACATTATCAAGATATTTGGTTTCTTGATTGACAAAATATTTTGAAAAGTGTGGATGGTGTGTTTGTCAACAAACAAAAATGTCCATGGGAACCAACTGTGCTCCATTTTTTGCCGATTTGTTCCTTTATTCATATGAGACTGACTTCATACAGGAGCTTCTTATGAAGAACGAAAAGAAACTAACATTATCCTTTAACTTCAAGTACTGCTATATAGATGATGTACTCTAAATAATTCAAAGTAAGTTTGGTGACAGATACAGTTAAGTTCTGCCTCATAGCTCGATTTCAGCTTCTCAATTGTGAACTTTCCATTTCTATGTTGCAACATTCCAGCAGCGCTTACATATTGAGTATACATCTCAAAGTTGATACGATATTCAAGTGCTTCCAGTTACGATCATGATTTTCTTGATAAAGTGTTGTTGTTAACAAGGAAGCTATGAAACCACGAGTTTTAAGTAGTGAAGTTGAAATCCTCCATTCAACAATTTTTCGGACGCCATCACGAGTTGGTTGACCGTAATCAAATATCTGTCTCACAGATGCCGTCGGATATGTTCCAATTGTTGTAACCACTATCCTGTCCTCTTTCCGCGAATGTGACCTACCGAATTATAGACTTATCACCGGGTTTGTACTGACATCAGCAACACGACGGGTGTCACATGTGGAGCAGGATCTGCTTTCATTTCTGGAACACCAGAAGGCCCGCCCCTAACCCACCCCGGCTTTTTTCCCACCTCCCTTCTATATCACTGCAACTAGAAAAGACATCTAGTATATACTTAACAACTAAATGATAACTTTGACTTATTGTATTTAACCATAGTTTAAATATGAACAAACGGAAATGTAGGCAAACGTGTGTCCGTATCCGGGAAATAGATTTAACCCGATAATTTACTCTTATAAGTCTCATAAAACACTCTCATCCATCATGGAACTTTTACAGATGAAAAGCAGCGTATTAATTATTAGTAATGAAACAATCTAATTTGATAAAAGGTTTGTTTCCCATATATTATATATAGCATCTGCACACTTTCAACTGTTTTGGTTCTTTTACATCCTTGTCTTTCAAATACTCGACTTTGAGCGTTCCTGATGAAGGTAAATCCAGAAAAACGCTTCGGAAGCATAAAATTAACAACGTGATATTTGCATTTTTTTAATCGTTGATTTAGAATAGATTGCAATGCATTCTATCTTAACATCTTTGAACATCTTTAATATAACTAGTTGAACTAGTATTTCGATATTTCAATCCACCTCAATTATAGAATTATTATCTTTTATCCATAGGAAAGACAATTGTCTAATCAATATTTACATTTTTCTGAAATAGGGAATGGAAGAGAGTATTGAACAATTAGGAGAAAAAAGGTTAAAAACGGATATTAAGACTTGAAAGTATACAACTGATTACGAATGCCTCGACTTGGGTATAGCACCAGTAACAGTCAAATATTCCAAAAGGCTCACCCTGTATTTTTTCTATTATTATTCAGATAAGGAATTTAAATGGAATGTGGATTGTAATATCATTGTCCATTTTGATGACAAAAATCACATTCCCGCAGAAATGTAAGTTAATTAACGTGTTTTTATGCTTAGTTTTTGTAGCTGTCTATCAATTTCATTGTACTATGTTTCTGTACTTTTCGCTTTCCAATTTAGTTCTTCGGTTATATATGTAATAGTTTAGTGCATTTGGGAATGAGTAATCGGATAAACGTCTTTTTTCATTAACTAAAATCAAGGAAAATATAACAAACAAACAAAAATTATCGCAAAAAATATTTTTATAAATCTATTACTTACTATTATCATTCTGATTATACGTATTATATGAATAAATGTAATGACGCTGCGTTTATTGCAAAATATTATTTGTGCAGACACAGTTTTTTTCCATTAATATTTATGATTAAGTAACTTTTGCTTCAAACTTGTTTCTCAACCTTCTTGTATATATTTAAAGGTTCATAAGTTCGCTTAAACAGAATGTTTATGAATATTTTAAAATTTCAAGGTTTGAGATCAAGAGTTTCGATTGATTTTTACAAAACTAAAGAAAAGGTCGTTTTAAGAAGACCAATTTCAAATGTCCTAATAAATTATTTGACAAATGCGGAAGTAATGTAAGTCAGAAGTTATAATTAGTATTGTGTATACAGCTTATCAGTAGGATTATCAAGGTGATTGTGACTAGTGTACAATAGGCATACAAAAATTGTTACGGCTAATTAGTTTTACGAATATGAGAGGATTTTTGACGTACTAATAAATGTTATTTTAAGAATATTTTAATAACCAAACAACTGTCATTTAAATTAACCATTTTTGAAATATGTTGACGAATAATTCTAAAATATTTAATAGAAGTGAAAGAAACATAGATGCAACTTTGGAGAGGATGACTTTAATATCATGTATATGGTTATAATAACTACCGATATCATTTTATTCATTTGTTGGAGATGTTCCTTTCTGATTTTATGTTGTTTTAACACTTATTTATATAATTGTCCTTTCAGTTCGTTTCTTTTATAATTAAAAGTATAAATAAGTAGACTTTAATATTAAAACCACCTCAAATATAATATTGGAAGTGGAAGTGCATAATCAATTTGAAGCCACTGCAGTTGTCAAAGGAATATTAAAGTTTCTAATTATTAGATCCCTTTCTTTTTTTTATATTCACACAACATGTCAATAAAATTATTACTCTAATGAACCATTATTAGTTTTGTCTTATTAGTTTATTGTTAAGTTTGTTTATTATGTTATGAATAATTACATTGTAATTAATCAGCCCTTCAAAGAGCACCTTCATTGGTTACCTCCATTTTTGGACCTCCTAAGAATTATATTTTAGGCGCTACCATGTTTTTCTATACTGGTAACATTCCCAAGTTATGTCTCTATGAGATGAAACACAGAGATCATATCTGGGAACCAGTACGTTAACAAATTAACATATATATGAATGTTATATATCTTCCCAAAAGAGGCGTGGATTGTGAAACAGCTGTATTTACAAAGTGCAACCTATACATTTATTCAAATAGAAAACTCTTGAAAAACACTTTTTCTCACAACAATACTTATTTATCAGACTTATAGCCTTAAAGAAATCACTGCATATACAATAACTTTTCTTTTACAGTACATTTTATACCCCCACCCCTGTTTCAATTTTTTAAAGAATTTGAAAACAAGACTTTAATTACTGTCAACTTACCCTATGTGCATGTTTTCTGACATGAAATGTCAAGAACTTGTTTGAAACTATTCTTATAACAAATTAAAAGCATTTCAGAATACTATAAATGTAAAGTTTAGTAGTTAATAATTCCAACATTCAAGATTATATAAAGTATCCAATCCTGCCTTATTCTCCAGTCCACATCTTACTGTATGCCTATTTGTCAATAAAGTTAACAATTTCTACCTCAAATGGTCAGTGTAGAAATATTGTCAAAACAGTATCATCTCTAACCATATATCTAACATAATTAAGCTAATATATGAACTAGAAGTAATTAAACAAAGCTTTATTTTCAAAAGTTGTATGTATGAAGTTACCAGTCTAATGTATGACTTCACTAAAAGTTTTTTTGAACTGACTGCTAACATCTGTTTTTGCATAATTTCAAAGCACAGTTATTGTTTTCTATACAAAAGACTTTAAAATAATAAAATCATAGCATTTACAGGTTAAATTATCTGTTTTGTAACCCAGGGGGTAGGCATTTTTCTGTTTTTTTGCCACTGGGGCCTCACATTTGCTAAATTTTTCTGCTATTTCTGTGAATATGGAATATTAAGTACATTTTTAGGATAGAACACACTATTGTTAGTTTTATTGAGGTATTTTTGTATTTCTAGCTTGTATCTTTTTATGCCGTGGTCACAAAAAATAACATTCAGGTGTTACGGCTTACTTTTGGGTTATCGACAGAACAAAAACACCCAAAAACAATATTCAGGAAAGATCTTTGAGTTTCAATGACTGCGAAGAGCACTTCTTAACAATTCAAATTACAAATATGCATACATTAAAGAATTTATTTTGAATTCAGGCCTTTAAGTAAACTATGCATACTGTAAACTGTGAATTTATGCTGAGTCATCATAGTTAAGGCCTAGTATTGCCTCAATCTTCATGAAATATTCATAAAACTTTGTATTTGAGTTAATTTCATTTAAATCTCTGAGATAAACCAGATTTGGTAAAATTCTATATGTTCTCTTTTTTCACCCTATATAGGTTGCAATTCTGTAAATATAGACAATGCAATTTCCCATAGGAACTCCCTTTGCGGCTAAAACTGTGCCACTTTTACTGTGAAGATTCGTGAAAAATTATATCCAGAACGGAAAGTTGATATGCACTACTATTTTATTCAAAGATCTCAATATAGGGCTGTGCGGCATATTTTCAACATTTATATGCCCTGAACGTCTAAGAGTTTAAACTTATACTAAAATTCTATACTAGCCCTACCTCCATTTTTAGACCTCCTAAGAATTAAATTTTAGGCGCTACCATGATTTTCTATACTGGTTACATTCCCAAATTATGTCTCTATGGGATGAAACACAGAGATCATATCTAGGAACCAGTATGTTAACAAATTAACATATCTATGAATATTATATATCTTCCCAAAAGAGGCGTGGCTTGTGAAACAGCTGTATTTACAAAGTGCAACCTATAGTGTAGAGGGTTGCTGCTCACAAGGAAGCTATTAAACCAAGAGTTCCAAATGGTGAAGTTGAAATCATCCCTTGGTAAATTTTACGGACGCCATCACAAGTTGGTTGACCGTTATGGAATAACCGTTTCACAGATGATATCGGATATGTTCCTTATGTCGTAATTACAATCCACTTCCTTTTTCACCACGAATGTGACCTACTGAATTAGACTATTTACCGGATTTGTAATAACACGAGCAACACGACGGGTGCCACATGTGGAGTAGGATCTGCTTACCCTTCCGGAGCACCTGAGATCACACCCAGTTTTTGGTGGGGTTCGTGTTGCTTAGTCTTAAGTTTTCCATGTTGTGTCTTGTGTACTATTATTTGTCTGTTTGTCTTTTTATTTTTTCGCCATGGCGTTGTCAGTTTATTTTCGATCTATGAGTTTGACTGTTCCTCTTCTATAGTTTTATATAAGTCCTTAAGTATATTTACTGTCCTTTAATTAAAATCTTTAACAATAGTTATTCATTTATATAGAAATGAAATGTAATGCACTTTATTGTGATCGGTGGGAAAGATTTTAAAAATTAGATATTCAACACATTATAAATATTTAAAACATCCAACAGTATACTATAACAAGAGCAAATTTCGACATACAATAGATTTCACATTTAAGGGCATACGAAGCAGTTTTGATCCCACGGTGATTATTTTGCGAAAATATGCATGCAAACTATTTTAAACCTCGTCAATTCTAATGTGTATTAAAAATGTACTTTATGTGGTACTTTTAGAGATAAATAAGGCCATTATCTTAAACATTTACTAAACATTTCGGTTTCTTTTACATACCTATCATTTGGATAGACATACATTACTTTAATTTTGTTTCAAAACATAAACAATTATGCGGATTTTTGTGAAAACATTTGGAATATCTTGTGTACATAAGTACAATCTAGATTTGCCAATGTTCTCCAACTTTGTTTATATAAATATTTTGCCCTTTTTTTACTTTTTTTTATTCGAGCGTCACTGATGAGTCTTATGTAGACGAAACGCACGTCTGGCGTATATGATGTTAAGCTTGGTGTCTATGATGAGTTTTTTTAAGTAACAAGTCTTTGGAAGTAATTCTTTTTTTCAATTTTCATAGTTTTAGAGAAAACAAATTTTTTTGCTGTATATTTGTTTAATTTATAAAAACAAAATCATCGGTTATTTGTTCATAAAAATTGGTACATACATACATAATCAGACCAAACGTCGTTTAAAAAAAAACAGGGCTTCATGAAATCTTTTTTCAAGCTAATGATTAAAATCAGTCGAAAACTTATTTCCCCCGCTATATGTCACAGTTTGACGTCGCAAAAAAGTAACAATGTACGTTTACGACGTAATTAACTACCCTGTAAATATATCATGCGCCCTTAAATATAAAAGCCCAGTTTTCAAGATTTTAAAATTTCAAATATTGCTTATTCTCATAATATAACCTCGGCGTTTACACCATACAACAAGACATAATAGATTGCCCTGGATATAATTTTCTGACTCCAAGCCTCTAAACGATTTATTAATTGTAAAAAAATATTTACATTTATGTTGATAATTCTCATTTGTCAAATAACATTAACGGTACCAATGCACCAGACGTGCATTTCGATAATATATGTCTCTTCAGTGATGCTCGAGGCCACAATGTTTAAAAATTCAAAACTTAAAAAATGAAGTGCTAATAAACCTAAACGCACAAAGAGTATTGCAAAAGCCGAAGGTTCCTTATACTTTCCCAGGTTTGTTTTATTTGGTGCTTTATTGACAAAAAGCCAGGCTTCAAATTAGATTGATAAAATTACAGTTTGAAATAATTAAACTTGAACACTGTCTGGTTCACTCTGTGAAATGTATGTTCCTTTGTCAACTATTGATTCGGATAAAATATGATTTAAATTGTTTTATCTGTTAATTTTAAAAAATTCAAAAATAAATACCAATTTTATAGATGAATCTAACCGGTGATCAAATAATTTCTTAGTTGCATTTACACAAAAGATTTTGTGTGTAGTTTTCTATAGTTTTCCACATAATATATGGATGACTTGCATTCTTAATATCATTGATGTAAAATAGATGGCATGGCGTGTTTTTCAAGCTTGCTTGCAATTCTTTTATATAACATTTTGGATGAACTATATTTATACGTGAAATCCAGGGTAAAAATCCACCACCATAGACATCTTCTAGCCAGAAAAAAGGCACAAGGGTGGTCGCTTCATACATTTTTCTTATCACGTCAGCTGACATAATAGAGGAAGGTCCAGCACAATACGGAGGAAACGTTGCAAAAGGATATTCAGACGGAGTCGTATACCATTTATTACGAGGTTTACGGTATGGTTTAATACCTATAAGATACAAACATTCTAACACCTTAGTTTTGTTCAGTTTATTGCTTAGATAAGGAATTAGAAATGGAATGTTAATGGTGATATCATCGTCAATTTTTGTGACATAAGTCACATTGTTGCAGAATTTATTCACCCAGAACAAACTAAATACTCGTTTATATGTTAAATTTCTGTAGCTGTCTATAAAATTTCCTTGTATTATGTCTCTGTATTTGACACCTTCCTGTTCAATTTCCTTCTGTTGAGTATCATTCATAGTTTGTCCAAGCACAAAGACATAGTCAATATGTTTATTGTCAAATTTTGAAATAGATCCAAATGTATTCCGTATAACCTGGCGTTCGTCGAATTTGTATGTAGCTGAATGAATAAGAACTAGTAAGAATACATTTTTTTGTTTACACTCCATACTAGTATTAAGTAACGAAATATATCGGTGTTTGTGAATGAGAGGTTCCATCAGTTTATCGGTTGATACATTCAGATAAAAGAGTTCAAACTCCGTTGAGATACGTCGTCCATTGTATCTTATGACTTTCCGACTCCTGCTAAGTATTTTCTTCTGCATTTTCACTTTTTTTTCAAGTTGATTTTGGACTTTTTGTATAATATTTGATACGGACGTGACATTGCTGTGCTCTCTTTGCTGATTTCTTGAATAATGGTACACTAAAATCCATAGAAATATTACAAAGGAAATTTTCCAAAGTATTGCTTTCCTCATTTTCATAACTTAGAGTAGCGCTTTATGTATTAACAAATGGAGTCATAAACTTAGATTAGTTCTTATCATTGTGTGTAAATAATGGGTTGTATCGTATGCACATTACGTACCAGCTTAAATTAAAGAAGTTCGAGATACATAAGAAGTAAAAGATATTTTCATTTACACTTGTTTTGTATATCATGTCTTTATTCATGTAATCGATAGATAGGAACCATAGAGTAAATCAGACATGAACACGATTCTTAAATATTTCCCTTAACTATTGGCTATTGTATAATTGTCAAGTTTTTAACATTTAAAGATGGCATATGTTTTCATTCCTCAAAAAGAAATCGTCCATTCAGGGGAAGTTACTCTTGTCCACCTTTAAAAAAAAAAAAACGTCTGTTTGTTTTAAAAATATGATTATATCGTTGTTTTAATGTATACATATATATATATTTCAAAGACCAATTGTTGTCAAAGCCTTAGGCTGTAAAAAGCAGTTTGCATATTATAATTGTCTTGTATACTATATAACCAAAGACTGACACGAACCCCACCAAAAACCGGGGGTGATCTCAGGTATTTATCAAAAATAGATTTTTAAATTGTATCATTGTTATTAGATAGATTTATCTCAGATTTCTATATTCAAAATGATCACCTGCTGTACATCACGAAATACTTAACAAACGTATGTCCGAACATCAACAATGACATATGCTTTCGTCCAATCGGAGGACAGATCATCATTAAAGATAAAGGCTACCAATTCAAAACTAATACACACACTACGCAGGAAATAAGCTTATTTCTAAACGGCACTTCGTTTTATGTTCTTGCCTGTGAGACTTAGTGACCTACATTGCGGCGACTAGAACATCTGTGAAACCTTGATAAAATTGTATATAAAACTTAGACTGAAGCTTTTTCGAAGACTGGAAACAGCCAAATGTTAAAGTAATATTTAAGAAAGGAAGCACTATAGACCTGTGTCACTCACCTGTTTGTGCTGTAAATTCCTGGAATACATTATTTTCAGCAACACCTAGACAACTATCAAATACTTACCAGGTCCCAGCACGGTTTCATAGCAAAACGAAGCTGTGTTTCTCCTCACGCTATGTCAAGAACCAGCACCAGCTGTAGATAGAGGAGGTTATCCTTTTCTAGTGCCTTTGGTCGTGTCCCACAGACGCCTATTTAACAAATTGCATCATTATGGCGTTACAGGACATACACACAAGAAAATCAATCATTCTTCTCTGATCGTACCCAACAATTCATGGTTGAGGGAGAATCATCAGATAATTAATTTACTGTGGTCATAGGTCCCACAAGAGACTGCGCTCGGACATTTGTTATTCCTATTATTAACAAACGAATAACCTGACCACATAACATACTTAGGGATGTCAACGAGTATTCGAGTACTCGAGTATCGCTCGGTAGTACCGAGTATCGAATACCAAAATGATACTCGACTAATCGGCTTCTGTTAGAATGTTGTTGCCTAATTCTTAAAGAAAAAATAGTTTTAGTTAGAGCGCCTCCCGAGAAATTAGATATTTATCAAAATTAGAATACGTTTCGACTGTTTGCGTTTAATTGTCATTTAAAATCTCTTCGCATAGATGCAGGTTATGAACAAGAACACCTTTTCAAGGCTTACACTTTTAACTAATCGTCTCTCAGTCATTCCATCACCTCTGTACCTTCAGAGCAAATATTTTCATCAGCAGCACTATTAGTTACGTAACAAAGTTGAAAAATCGACTCGTCCCAGAAAAAGTTGAAAAGATAATATTTCTAAATAAGAACAAGTTCGTTGCAACCTGTGTCGACCATCAGAGAATGGTTAAAGGCATCAGCAAGTTCTAATCATCACCACTTTGTTGATCATTAAATGTGTCTTTTTACGATTCACAAATACTGTTGTTTGAGTAAAACATTTTCTATAGATGTCTCTTAATTAATTGATTAGATTATTGCCAGTTTACATAATTAGTACATGTAGTAAATGAGCTATTAATTATGGTATAAAATTCCTGTGACTATTATCTAGTCCTAGGTAATAATGTTGAGGGATTTACGTCCAAAAGACAACGACCCACAATACGTAAAATTGGTATAACTTTGTGTTTCCCATTTGTAGATGTTTATTCCGAGCGAGTACTCGAGTATCGCTCGGTATATCCAACGAGTACTCGATTAGTAAATCCTCACCGAGTTTACATCCCTTCTAATTATACTACAGGGTCTGTACAAACTTACAGCATGGGCGAAACATTTGGCATGGACTTTCACCCACAGAAGTGAAGTGTACAAATTACCACCAGATTACGCTCACCAATAAAACCCTTTTGAGTATTGGTCAGGATTGACAGTTCAACGTATGATGTAGATGTAGACAGCTCTTATTGTGGTAATGACATACCAACTTACATGATCCTATCTCATAATTTTGTTGTAAAAGATGTTCAAAGACGATATATTTCAAGGAAGTTTTAGGACCCTGAGATCATGCCTTCAGGGATCGTATGAAGATTCTTACACCATTAGTAACGCTGACATTTATACTGAGATTTGTGATTCAAGTATTTAGATCTTCACAATACAAAGTAGTTCAAAAGATTTCAAAATGTGCTAGATAACCTAAAATACAATTTGACCATAATGTTGATCTTTTGGTAAAAATCAAAGCCTCGTCGGTGCTGTGATCCAGCCATTTTTAAGCCACAGGAACAAGACTTTTTTTTTATCTCATTTTCCATTTTTTTTTCTTTATACAAGCTTCAGTTACGACATGCATATAGAGACAACCGTCACAACTTTTGATAAGTGATTTTAGCCAAAAATGTTAACTTGTGTTTTAACATTTTTAACAGAGAAGAAACCTAGGGACTGAAAAAAAACCAGACAACACAAAGATTGAAATGTAGAACGCCGTCATTTTCATTATTATTTCACTAAAATTACCAGTGTTATCTTTTCCTTTTTAAAATCACCCCTTTCAGCTCATAAAATTCTAATAAAAAGTATACTCCTTCTAAGGTACTTCTGAAACAATTACTGATGGAAACACTGGAAGAGTTGTGTGTATAATTTCAAATCATATTCTCAGGTATCATGGTGAGCAAAAAAAACCTTGACATATCACTCTTGCTTTAAATTCAGAAATCTAGATAATTGTTTTTTTTTCCAGTTGATAAAACCATCTTGTCTCACTAAACTTACTTGTAAACGGTTGCGTTTGGGAGTGTGTAAACGTAGGTATGCAATACATCTTATGATCATTTATTGAATTTTGATAAAAATTCAAAAACCTTTGTGAGCGCACTCACATACCCCACTCCCCCACATTGTCACTGCCTGACTGGGCAAACAAAATCTCACCAGATTCCAAAGTTCAAAGACTCATAAATCCAAAAAAGGTCACCTAAAAACAATTCTTGTGGATATGCACATCTATGTATTGTGTCCTCATTAACTACAAAATTCCATGAAATTCTGTTGTGTGGTTGCAGAGGAGTAGTGTTGACAAACTGATGCAGCAGTATATTTTGGCCAAAATTCGAAGTTCAAAGAGGCATAACTCCTAGAAAAAAATGAATCACAATTTCCTGTCGATAAGCACATCTAAATAGTATAGCCTTATCATCTACAAAGTTTCGTGAAATTGTATAGTGTGGTTTCAGAGGAGTTACGACGACAAACTGTTGCAGTAGTATAGGCCAAAATTCTAAGCTCAAAAGGGCATGCATAACTCCTAGAAAAAAAATTTAATCATAATTACCTGTCGATATGCACATCTACATAATATGTCCTTATTATCTAGAAAGTTTCATGAAATTCTGTTGTGAGGTTTCAGAGGAGTCGCGATGACAAGACAGGACTGATGGATAGATTGACAGACGGACAGACTCACGGGTCAAAAACATTATAAGTTGCATGGGGTTTAATTATATGACACTGAAGATGAACAGTTTTATTTCATTTTCATAATATTACTAACAATAATGTATTAAATTGCCCAAAGTCGGAGAATTTCTCAATATTTATAAAAATTCTTTTGATATTATAATTTTTAGAAGTGGTACTAATTTTTCATTTTTCCTATCTTCTCTTTTCCATTAAATAATTTTGACATGATTGGAAATAGAAATCTTCTAAGGAAGGTGTAGTATTTTTTTTTTATATCTGATGGCCACATGTATTATAAGCGTAATTGATCCATATCTTAATATAACTTTTGTTTGAATGAACAATATATGTGCAGTTTTGTAAGATTAATGATATAGAAGTCTACCGATTGACCTAAAATTATATAACCAGGATATGAGAACTGATTTCGCAGTTTTTAAGAATGAGGATCTTTGAAGTCTCAGCACAATTAAAAATAGCTTATTTATGGTAAAGGATGAACTTTCATATGGACATATATGTATACTAAAAATAGATCTGCACAATGTTTTTTCCTGTCATGAGGAATACCTTTCATAATAAAAAAATATTCAAATAAAACTAAACATGAGAAATGATTGCATTACAGATTTAAAAAAAAAAAAAAAATGTTGAATATTTGGGTTAAAAAATGTCATAGCAAAACATGATATAATAATATAAATGAAAACTATAACACTTGATATTTTTTTGTAACATAAAAGGTCAATCTATAAATAAACAACAGAATGTTAATGGTTCCGAGTATGACCAAGATTCAGTGATAGGATTACGATGTAGAAGAATAAACAAAATGTGAAGTAAACATCGATGAGACAGCAACACAACTACAAAATCTATTCAAAAAGACATTTAAACCCAAACCTTGATAAAATGGCTGCCTGAAAACTGAAATCTTTCCTGCATAACTAAAATAAATTATATGATATGGCATGCAAACATAAAAGTATTTTTCTGAGCACTGTGAGCATCAACATATTTTTAATTAAGTGTACCTGTTTAGATATGACTACTCCAAGTCGTGATTGATTCAGTAAGAACATAAAACTCAATGAAGAGGATTATATAATTTATTGTGATGATTCAATTTCTTCCTGTAAGTCTTCTTGGTTTCGTTTACTATTTACATAGTACCAAGGAGGAACCTAAAAATATAAAATAGTATTGTCAAGTCAAATTATCAATGTGTTCATATAATACAGTTGTCATCCTGACTAAACCTACTTTGTATTTCATTAAGAATAAGTGTCATTACCATATAACATATATAAAACACAAGTTGAAAAGATAAATGACGAGGTATGATCATCTGGCTCCCTTTCAAAATTTTATTTTGCTAATTTTATGGACACTTTAGTGCAGAAATTTCACAGACATATATAAATTGACATCACTTACAAAAAAATGCTATTTTACTCTTTAATTTGGCAAATATATATATGACATCTTTTAGGAAAAAAGTTTTGAATAAAGCCTTGGTTCATATCTAAATATCAAAGGTCAATAAATACTTTAATTGAGGTATCTGTACTTTTTGTCCTTATAAAAAGTTATGACACTTACCGTTATCTTGATGATATTTTTTCGTTAAATAATCAAGAATTTTCTAAATATACTGCCGAAATTTACCCAAAGGAATATACTTTAAATAAATCAAATATAAACGGTAATAACTGTCCTTTCCTAGATTTAGATATTTCAGTTTTACACGGATAACTCTACACTAAAATTTACGACAATTTCATTCCCTATTGCTAATTTTCCTTTTTTCGGACAGTGATGTTCCTTTGGCACCATCTTACAGTGTTTATATATCATAACTCGTTCGCTATGTCAGTGTCTGTCTATGAATTACTGATAAATTATTAAGGAAGGGATTTAGTCACCACAAATTACTTAAAACCTTTACTAAATTCTTCCATAGATATAAAGATTTGGTTTTGAAGTTTTGTTGTATCTGTTGAAAACTTATTTCAAACGGGATAGCAGATCTTAATTCTTACGGAGATGTTGTTCCCAGAGCCCAGAAGTTGAGAAACAATCCGGGTAAACTTATCGATTCTTTAAATAAACCTATTCTAAAAGGTAACCAATTCTACACTGTAATTAGATCTTTGAATATTGCTTTTGTTGGTATTAATATTGATCGATACCTGTATCTTGGCATTGCACAATTTCATGTTTTTCTCTGACTGTTTATGACTTCTTTACACTAAATCCATTGGATGTTGAATGTGTACTGATTAATATTTTAGTCTTAGATGCATGATTTTTTTATAAGTTGTTATTGGCTTTGAACTAGCTGGCAGTAACTGCGAGTACTCTCAGATCTGTACTTAGTGTCTTTATGTTGTGGGGATGTATAAGTACCCTGCCACGTCCACTCTGTGTTTTTGTTAGATGTATTTCTGATTTTTATAGTTTGTTCTTATGTTGTACTGTTACACCACTGTCCCAGGTTAGGGGGAGGGTTGGCGCCTTCTAACGAGTTTAACCCTGCCACATTCTGTATTTGCCTGTCCCAAGTCAGGAGCCTGTTACTCAGTGGTTGTCGTTTGTTGCTGTGTAACATATTTGTTTTTCGTTCATTATTTTGTTCATAAATTCGGCCGTTAGTTTTCTCGTTTGAATTGTTTTTCATTTGTCATTTCGGGGCCTTTTATAGCTGACTATGCGGTATTGGCAATGCTCGTTGTTGAAGGTCGTACAGTGACCTATAGTTGTTAATTTCTGTGTCATTTGGTCTCTTATGGAGAGTTGTCTCATTGGCAATCATACCACATCTTCTTATTTTGATATTTATATTGTTTCAAAATCTTAACTTGAGCACTGAACTTTTATTTTTTATAGTAAATCAGATTCTGTGTGAATCGTCAGAATTTTACACTAAATTGTCATAAAATATTTAAACATAGCCAATGGTGATGGTAATAAAATGCCAATTATAGTATAAACCAAGGACTAATCATAGTTATAAATTTTGTAGTATGAAAATTGAGTTCCTTGCCATTCATTTCTTGCAGTCACTGCTTCCTTTCTAACCAATCTTTTCTTGTCGTCTAATGCTTTCTATAATCCCTTAATAACCTGTAGTTTGTATGATAACATTGTGTGTGTAGGTAGTACTGTTAACACACCTATACACTGCAAAGCACTTTGTCGCAATTTCTGAAAAAGATAACATAGTGACAGTAATCATACTTTTTTGGTTAGCTTAGTATTTATTATAAAAAAAAGAAGTGGTATGATTGCCAATGAGACAACTCTCCACCAGAAATCAAATGATGTAAAAGGTTAGCAACTATAGGTTAGTATTAATGTTTCATTTCACATACACATGCAAACACACACATCTAATTAATTTTGATGAATCTGAAACAGCTGAGCAAACATTTTGTATTTGTATTACAATATTCAAATCCTAACAGAATTCATTTTAGCTTCTTGTCAACTAAGAAGGCTATTTAGGTGCTCGCCCATTATTGATTGACTGATTGTTGTTTGTTTAATGACCATTGTCCATTGTTGAAGACTGTATGGGTTGTTATAATGTCTATTATGTTGTTTTATTTTTTTCCAATTATTTAACCTGTATCAGTTTAACTGAAATACTATTGTTAATTATGTTTCTATTACATGAAATTAGATCTCTATTTAAATATGTATATGGGTAGTTCTCGAGAGAGGGGAAAATTATTGTAAATTCAGGAATATATATGTTATTTATAGTCTGCTAAAGTCAAAATAAAAACTAACACATATTATGATGATGCAGGCCACAGATGTGACAGTTTATGTTTCAAAATCAATCATATCAAAAGATACATGTATAAAATTTGCATAATATACAATTATAAGTACCAATTGTGAATTTAAATATACAATACTTTCATCACAATCTGAACCAATGAGCATATAATACAATAAGTGAAAAGACAAATGTCATCAATTGTTAAAATTGAAATTTTTGAAAGGTCAATCAATTTAGAGTTATCTCCCCTTGACTATAAATTTGTTAATAATAGTGTAACATCCTAACTTTTGGGAGCAGATACCGCCATGACGTATAAAGCTCTTATGGAGCTGTAAACACTGCCCTAAAGTAAACCTGCATCAACCATCATCCTACTTATGCAAATGATGAAACTTACGATTCTATGTACTGTTTATAAGCAAGTAAAAAAAATATGCAACAAATGTATATACTAAAAGATACACAATATACCGACATTGAGTCCCACGAATGTCCTTTATCCTAAAAGACACAATTTACAGACATTGTGTCCTACCTACGTATCTACTTTATACAACCAATCATAAACTAAAGAGAAACAATTTACAGACATTGTGTCCTATCAATGTATCTACTTGATACAAAACAATCATATACTCAAAAGGCACAATTTACAGACATTGTGTCTTATCAATGTATCTACTTGATATAAACCAAAATATACTAAAAAGACACAATTTACAGACATTGTGTCTTATCAATGTATTTACTTGATACAAACCAAATTATACTAAAAAGACACAATTTACAGACATTGTGTCCTATCAATGTATCTACTTGATACAAACCAATCATATACTAAAAAGACACAATTTACAGACATTGTGTCAAACAAATATGTTTACTTGATGCAATAACAAACCAAGTTTGTTTACTATTGACTAAATTCTTACAGCAAAAACATGCATTCAATAATTGTATTAATACCTATTTTCCCCTTCAGATAACTGTATTTCCTTATATATTGTTATAAGTTTATTGATTAATATTACTAAATGTAAATGGGAGATTTTAAGATTCCAGTCCTGGCAAGCTGTTTTCTGCTAATTACTTCTCAGTAAAATTTGGTCAATTTAATGGTAAACGGATGAATTCCTGGTTTTAGGTTGTCCTTGTATCAGCTTAAATAAGAGTCATAATTCACCTTTCCCAATTGTCCACTGTTTCCATATAATATGAACTGTTATTCTGTATGCGATATGTAATGAGCTGTGACCCACAAGCCCTGTACGAAATATAAAATAAAAAACGGCAGTAATTCATTCACAAATTACGTCATTTCATGATCAGTTGTGAGACAAATAAACATGACTAAAGGAAATTTGACCTAATTGTCTAATATACAATTTGAATGCATCAGATTTCCATCTACCTAAATTTCTTGTGATTTTTGTGGACAATCCTTTTGCACTTGCGTCGGTAGCAAAGCCTATCAAGAAACTATGAGGTTTGTAATATGCTCTGCTGAGCCCACAAAAGTTCAAAGCACCATTTAGAGCATGTTTGAATAATTGTCTAGAAAGAGCTTCTCCACTGGAGTTGAGAAATAGTGGACCTGTTGTGTTTGTTCTCAAAGTTAAGTAACTAGTAAGTGCCGTTACTGCACAAATATTGTTATTTTTATTCTTAGCTATTTCTAAATGGAATAGTTTTCCATTTGAATGTTTGAAGTCCATGAAACTGATACTTAATTTTTCGTGTAACAAAACAGTTTGACTTAAACTAATTACATGATTGTAATTTTTGTTGTTGACTGTCATCTCACCAATTCTCAAAAGAGCATGGTATGCTAGGGTGAACATTGCTTTGAATAGAATTTGATCATACCTGTTAGATATTGTCTGTTTTAATGCATCATTAATTGATTCAAAATCGTACTAGTAATTGGAAGTCTCATATCTTGATTTCTTACCTTATGCACTGATTTCAGTACCTTATCAATAATGAATGAATCAGTTGGATCAGGCCAATTATTAATTTTGTGTGTAAAACCAATTGCTGATATGTATGTTGAGATAGAACTTGATGCAAGATCTTTGTTTTTCAAATGTGCTATAAATAGTATGAGATCTGACATAGTAAGTGGTAACTGAAATCTAATGCCATATTCTTCAGCAAAACTCTTATAGTGGATAATTGCTCTTCTATAAGTTTTTTTGTGAGGATTCAGATAAGATGTTGTTAAAATTTGATTTAAGGGTTTCTGTAGCTTGGCAAATCTGGTAGATTGGGAACTGGTTTGGGAACAGTGTCTGCCCATGGTGCTAACCGATGAAATTTCTGTACCTGTTGACGAGAACGTGCATCTGACAATACATTTTTTGAACCAAATATATGTTTTTCCTTAAAGTTCACATTGTTTCTCAAGCAGTGTAGAACTAGTCTCCTTATTAGGAACATAATTAACGCTTCTTTAGATGTTTGTTTATTAATTACAAACACTAAAGCTATATTGTTTGTATGAAAATATATGCACTGGTTTTCAAATCGGTGGCCCCATATTTCAACTGCCAAGACTATGGGATATAGCTCTAAAAAGGCAATGTTTTTTTTGCTATTTTGTGTCCAATTTGCCTAGAACCACTGTGAACCAAACAAAGCACCATAACCGTATGTACCAGAGGCATCTGTAAACAAATGTACCTGATCAGATGTTAACCAACGGTCTGATAAAATCAATGGCTTCCCATTAAAATTCTTTAAAAAATTTTGCCATGTGTTTAAATCTTGCTAAACTGATTTTGTCATTCGTATTCTATGAAAGGATTTTTTGACCCCAATTGTTAAGTCTTTTAGTCTTCTCAGAAATGCCCTTCCTGGGATGACAACTGCACAAGCAAAGTTGAGTGTACCAATGATAGATTGAAGTTCCCACAATGTATTTTTTTTTCTTTTTATAACACTACGGTTAAAAGATTGTGACATTTATCAAGCTTATCAATGGGAAGTCTAACTTCCATCAACTTGTGTCTATTTCGTAACCATCAAAACTCATAACCTTGGATGGCTGGAATGTTTTTTCCTTAGAAATTGGTATACCCATATCTTTACAAATTGCAAGAAAACGTTCTAATTTTTCTAACACCCATCTTCGGTTTTGTCTACTATCATAAAATCATCTAAAATATGCACTATGTTTGGAATAAGTACTTTATTTTTTGCGATCCATTCAATGGCTGTGCTAAAATTTGACAACTAGAACTACAACCCATTTGCAGATTTTTATCGTAATAGTATTTCCCCTCCCACATGAAGCCAAATAGTTTGTATTGTGATTTTTTTATGTTTATAATTCGAAATGCACTGGATATGTCGGTTTTTTGCACAAAAACTTTTTCTTCCTACGGTCTTAATCAGTTCTATTGCATCTTGAATGGAAGCATACTCTACATTGCATTTGTCTTGTGGTATGTTGTCATTGATTGATGATCCTTCAGGGAAAGATAAGTGGTGGATCATTCTATATGTCCCAGGCATTTTCTTTTCTGCTAGTCCCAAAGGGGATAATTGCATTTCTGTAAAAGGTTTTGAATCAAAAGGGCCAACAAATCTATTTGCATTAATTTCATTTTGAATTTTGTGTCTAACAATATCAGGTTTAGTCTTTGCTGATAATAAATTATCAACTGTACTACGATAAACAGAACCTCTGAATCCCACATCGAACCCATATTTAAACCCGTTAACTAAGTAATTGTTCATTTCAATATTGTATCCTTTTAACCAATATCCAAGCCTATCAACCTTAACTGGTGTATTGCTATTAGAATTATAATTAACATCATTTACTGGTGTTGACAGTTTTTTCTGTCCTTTGGGAAGAGGTGTCGTCTTTGTTACTAGATAGGGAGGGTCCCCGAAAGGGCTGGTTATTCCGGCCTTGTATCTTTTTTTAGTTATTACTAGTTTGTGTGAACTTATAATGGAGCCGAACTGGTTTTTTGCATGTTGAGAATGAGTGGTTGAAACCGCAATTGAAACATCTGTGTTAAAACTTGCATTTATCACCAAACTTACAACCTAAACTCTTATGAAATGAAAAACATACTCCAACTGGCCAGCGAGTATTGCCACCTTTGTTGTTGACATTCCCAAATTTAACATTAGCTTGCAATTTTGCTCTGAGATATAGTTCTAGGTGTGTACTCCCCCAAAGTGCTTCTCCTCTTTCTAATAATTTCCTAAATTCGATATCGTAAAATTGCCAGTTCCCCCCTTCTCTTGACATTTCCAGGATTATTTCCAGATGGTGGGGTATTACAGGCCCTAATTCAGGGTTTTTAGTACAAATTCTTGCTGTAGATTTATTCCAGGCTGATAGCCATTGGTTCAGGGTTAATGTTTTCTTGTTACGCTCTTTTGAATGGAAAGTTTGGGGTTGTCGGCCCCTTGAACAAGTTGTAATCTGTATTTGGTCTCGTCATTTCTAAGAGGGAATGGAAGTCGATGTACATTCCCGCCCATATTTGTTGTTTTATTGTATCCGGTATATTTGCCCCTGTTTTGAGGGAGCAACTGACAAAGGCTGATTGCCCCCCCAACAATTTGTTTATCAACAGTTGGTTGTACAGCCAGGACCGACCGTGTGAGGGATGTACATCCAGTCAAGGTCGTTAAACACTTCCAGTTAGTCAGCCAGAACCTCTGGGCTGACAACCACATTGTTATTGTCATGGTTTTGCTCTCCATTACATGTACCTTGGATGTTTCTGTTCAGAGTGTCCACATGATGTTGGACCTCAGCCTCCTGAACATCTGAATTGCCATTATTTCCTTTTGAAGTTATCTTGTCAAAAATTTCTTCCATCCTCCTTTCCATTCGGCTAGCTACCCTTTCTGTTATCCTATTGGTTAACTCCTCAACACCATCTGGTGATATAATTGTTGCATTATTTGGAGGTATTGAAGGCCTACTTGGTAAAGTGGTTGATGTTTTCTTCCTCTGGGCGGCCGTCTTCATTTTCTTAATGGCACCTGCCACTCCATACGAGGATTGTCTTATAGAGGCATTGTCTGAAATATACTAATGCAAACTTAATACAATACTTTCAATTATAATAATTTTTTATTAGGACTATTTTGTTTTATTGAATTTGTCTATTTGTTTTTCTTTGTATTTAACCTTGATTATTCATGTTAACCTTGTTTGAATAATTTAATCTGGACGATCCTCAACCATTAAAATTGTTTTGTTTGTGTTCATTATTATCTGAAATATTACCAGTTTCTGCCGTAAAATGTTACCTTTTGGTAACTAAATATTTAGTTTTAGCAACAACATTAAGTTCAAACATACGAAATGTATAGTTACTGTATACAAGACCTACATATAAAAGTCAAGTACGATAATAAAGTGATATTTAATATGATATCGTTCGACAAACAGTAACACAGGGGATTGATATGTAAATTTGTGTTGTTAACTTGTAATTATTTATGGTAACTACTACTTGAACCATGATTATGCATCATAATCCTAGATAATTAGGTCTTTCCACTTTTCGGTGGAAAGACCTATTGTATTTGTTCTGATTATTATTATTATTAGGTCTATCCACTTTTCTGTGGAAAAACCTATTGGTTTTCTTCTGATTACTAGGTCTTTCCACTTTTCCGTGGAAAGACCTATTGATTTTGTTCTGATTATTTTTTTTTTCTTCCGCCTAGTTTTTTTTCTTTCGCTGTTTGGTTATTTCGCAAGATGTCGATTTGATATTTGGTATATGATATCGAACAGTTTATGAGCTTTCATATCTGACCCTGCTTAACCGAATACTTTTCTTTGTAAGAGTTATCTCCCCGAACACTGTTTTTCTTGTGTTTGCTACTTCTTCGCAACCGTAAAAGATTACGACAAATTTATTTTACCAAATTGCTCGCTATATCTTCAGGATGTTGAGTTTGGTTTTCACCGAAGCACTCCGGAGACTCCATATGAGAGTTATTTCCCTTATGCATTTGATATACGTGATATGCATTTCTAACTGGTAAACCATCAGTAATAGAGACATAGGGTCTTTTGATTTGAGGTCCTTGGTCCAAAAAAAAAAAGAAAATTAGGTCAAGGTCAGAGCTCAAGTTCATATACTAAAATTTGATTTTGGCTTATTTTTACCTTTTTTCAAAAATTGTATAATAATCGACAAATTATTTTTACTAAATTGTTAGTTGTGACATGTCGTAACACATACATTTTGGTTGAAATGGTACGCTAACATTAAATAGGAGTTTTCTCCCCCCTTATATTTAAAATAACGCATATGGTGATATAACTCATTAACCATATATAATTAAGACGTAGGGTCTTTTGATTTGTGGTCCTTGGTTTATGACCTTGAAATTGAGCTCAAGGTCATTGATAAATTTGAAGTTCTAGATTTTGACCTTTTCTTTTACCTCATAAGTATACCTAATAAAGTCATGGGACTTTTTGCATTATCATTTGACGTTGGAAAGCCAACCGGAAATGACCTTGTGTAAACCGGAAGTAGCTATTTTTTGTACATCTTTAATGTAAAAGTATATCGAACGATATATTTTTGGAATCAGTGTCAATTGAACTATCAAATTATACCGGAAGTATCATTTTTCAAACCGGAAGTCTCAAATTATCTTCCTTATTTAATTTTTTCTATATAGAAACAATATATTTTTGGAATTAGTATACAATAAGCCATCATTTGACGCTTGAATTGACATTTTAAACCGAATTTTAATATTTTTATTTCAAAATAATCTTTACTGGTGGAAAGACCTTCAATTGTTCTCAGAACAATTGGTTTTTAATTTTTTTTTTTTTTTTTTCTTCCGCCAAATTTTGTTCTTGCGATAAATTTTTGTTTCGCAAGATGTCACTTAGATGTTTCGTATATTATATCGAACAGTTTATGCGCCTTTGAAATTGACCCTGCTGAACCGATTACTTTTCTTTGTAGGAGTTATCTCCCCGAACACTGTTTTCCTTGTGTGTGCATCTCCTCCGTAACCGTAAAAGAAAGCGACAAATTTATTTTACCAAATTGCTCGTTATATCCTCAGGATGTTTTGTCCAATTGTGACCGAAGCGAAACGTAAACTCCATATGAGAGTTGTTTCCCCTTCTGTATTTGACATAAGGGATATATAAATGTATAGCATGAATGGTAAGTGATAGAGACCTAAGGTATATTGATTTGAGTTCCTTGGTTCATTTAAATGAAATTAAGGCCAAGGTCAAAGGTCAAGGTCATATTCTAAATTTTGACTTTTCCTTGTTATTTGATCTCCTCTGTCACTTTTAAAATTACAAATTAAAGAACTAGTGCAAAATGTTTGCATAATTGTGATTTAGATCTGATACATTTGGTCTGAAACAATCCAATGATATCTTCTAGGAGTTATTGTCCCTGAAATGATTAAATTTAAGGTTAATTGATTATTACTCCAACTTGGTACATGATAAAGCCATAGGGTCTTTTGCAAACTCTTGGTTGACATATGACCTTGAAAAAAGTCAACCGGAAGTGACCTTGAGTGAACCGGAAGTTGTATTTTTTGCACTTATTTCATGGAAAAGTACCTAGAAACCATATATTTTTTGAATGATCATAGGTTAACCTATCATTTGAGACCGGAAGTGACATTTTATAAACCGGAAGTAGCATATTATCTTCCTTATTACAGGCATAAATATATACAAACTCTATATTTTTGGAATCAGTGTGAATAAAGCTATCATATGACACCGGAAGTGACATTTTATAAACCGGAAGTTGGCAATTATCTTCCTTATTTCAGGCAAAAGTATATAGACACCATTTATTTATTGAATCAGTATGAAGAAATCTACTTTGACGCTATTAATAACTTTGGGTAAACCAGAAGTAGCTTCCTATCAATTATTTAGAAAATTGATGTGGAAAGACCTTCAATTGTTCTTTGATTATTATTTTTTTTTCCGCCAAATTTTGTTCTTGCGATAAATATTTGTTTCGCAATATGTCGCTTTGATATTTCTTACATTGTATCATTTCACCCTGCTTAGCCGAACAATTTTCTTTGTAAGAGTTATCTCCCTATTCACTGTTTATCAAGTGTGTGCATCTCCTTTGTAACAAATAAAGATATCGACAAAATTCTTTTTTTAAATTGTTTGTTACATCCTCAGGAATTTTTGGCTAATTTGGATCGAAGCGATTCGATAAAATTTTATAGGAGATTACTTTTTACAACCTTTACTAAATAAATTTGTCGGTATTTTTTTTAACTCATAAACCGTTAACCGTATAACCCTAGAATGTTTTTATTTAAAGCCCCTAGGTCCGAACTTAGAAAATGAAGTCAAGGTCAAAGGTCAAGGTCAAGTTCTCAATTTTGATATTTCCTTGTTTTTGCATTTTCTCCAACACTTTTAAATATATCTATAAAAGAACAAGTGCAAAATGTTTGCTTAACTGTAATGAAGATATGTTAAATTTTGTCTGAACAATCTAATAGCTTCTAATAGGAGTTAGTGCCCCTGAAATGTCCAATTATAAGGTTAATTGATCATTTCTTCAACTTGGTTCATTATAAAGCCATATGACCTTTTATAAAAGGTTTGGTGACATATGACCTTGAAAAATGACAACTGGAAGTGACCTTGAGAAAACCGGAAGTAGCCATTTTTGCACTTTTTTCATGGAAAGGTTCTCGGAATCCATATATTTTGTAATTTAAATACATTAACTTATCACTAAAGACAAGGAGTGACTTTTAATAAACCGGAAGTGGCCAATTATATCCTTGTTTACAGGCAAAAGTATATATAAACTATATATTTTTGGAATCAGTGTGAAAGAAGCTATATTATGAGACCGGAAGTGATATTTACTTCACCGGAAGTAGTTGATTATCTTCCTTATTTCACTCAAAAGTTAATAGAAACCACTTATTTATCGTATCAGTATGAAGAAACTTATGATTGGATGCCAATTTTAACTTTGAGTAAACAGGAACTAGCTTCTTTTCAATAACTTAGTAAAATTGATGTGGAAAGACCTTCAATTGTTCTCTAAACAATTGGTTTTTAATTTTGATTGTCATTCTGTTGCGATTATCCACCGGAAGTTTTCCAAAGATTACAAAATTTACGAGTACGGTTCAGATACGTGTTAATTTCCGTTTTCTAATTTAATCTCTTTGCAGGCATTGATAGCTGCTCTTCGTATTGACTTGTATAAATGGTATTGACCTTTCGTATTTAGATGTACTCCATCGGAAATAAATTTATCTTTGCAAGAATTTTTGTTTGTGGTGTCAAGAGAAAATCTTTTGTTATGATCCCAAAAGATAAATTTCGATGATTTTTCAACCTCGTTTTTTATCATTTTATTTATTTCTTGTGCTTTTTCGAAATACATATTCTTTTATGCCCTATCTCGGACACTTGTATTGTCCCGATTGTATCCATCTTTCTTAAATCTGAAATTATCCATTGGGAAGCGTGGCATGATGGCACATATTACTACTCGTCGAACTCCATACGTATTTGTTAGTAACTAACAGAAACTTATCAGTTTATATGACACTTCCTCAACAGACGTGTCTTCTACAACATCGTTACCACCAGCTAGGAGAATAAGACATTCGGTTTTTTTTAATTTTAACTATGCCCATGTCGAACTTTATCATTTTATGAATAAATCTTCCTCCTACGCTATGCCACTCGACGGTTGAAGTTTTTGCCAAATTTAAGTCTAATTGGTGTCTATGATCGTTTCCTGATTTCAGGTAGTTGTGAAGCCGATGGCAAATGGAATGACCTAGTATAAGTGTGTTTAAAGGCATGCCTAGATAAAATACTTTATGAAATTGAGTGTCACCAAATTTCTGTACGTGTTCTTCCTTCGGCAGCTATTTGAAAAAGAGGCTGCATATTAAAACATGTGCTAGAAGTAGCGCCCCCATATCAATTACCAAATTCCAAAGAGTTTCAAGTCAGATAAGCACCTATGTACTGTACAAAACTATTTTCTACATATTTCTAACATTTACAAAACATGATATCAAAAGATTTAAAACAATTAAAAGTTACAATATTTCATTGTACCATAAAGTCACTTATACTTCACATAAGTGTATTTATAGTGAACAATATGACAGAATATTTCAATAATCAGAACCTTAAGTTTCAATAAGGAGGTTCAATACTCTTGCTTTTGAATTTTTGTCAGATATTCAGAATCTTTCCGTTTTATTCATTTAGTGCCAATAAAAAATTTCTTACCCCTACTTTTCTTTTCATTATTTCATTATATATAGTTTAGAAAGTAAT